GAAGCATCTCAGCGCTGGTGTGGGTCTCCACGTGGCTCCTCCACTCCAGGCCTCTGGTTACATCAGCGTAATTCCATCAGGCTCATAGTCAGTATTGTCTGACAGGGAGCGAGCCTGTGTCCCACCTCCAGCAAACTATTTATCTCCTTAATGCCTTCAAATGAGGTCATCAACCTGCAACCTGATTGACAGGCTAACTGCCCTCCATTCACTCTTCAGCCTCAAATTGACAACATATTATGTAGCTACATTGTTTTTAAGTTTCAAAGAAAACTTAGCAGAAAAACATCTTAGAGCAATGGTTCACACATGGATTATTTTAACTTCTAAGGATGCCAGAGACTGAGCAGATATATTAATAATATTAGGCTAAATGTTTGGAGAGAGAGCAATAAGTACCACAAGGTATATGTCTATATTCAAACAACACTAATAGCAGTTATCTTCTGCAAAGTTTCAGCATGTATATGAACAGGAACTTAATAGGAAATTGAATTGTTATTCTGTTTCACAACCTGTAGCTCTAACTTTATCAGTTCCCCTAACCATTATTTTATGAATTTATTAAATCTGCTAATAAAAGCTTTCAACCTGAAAGTTGTGATATTGTAAACCTACAAGTTAAACAATCGGAAAGAAGTGAGAAAAATAGTTACATACAGAGGATACCTTTAAAATGCCCCCAATATTTCCACATATAGAACTTAAAGAAACAGTCTGGTTAGTAGTTTATTTCTGCTCTTGGCAAATGTGGATCAGTTATAGTTCACAATCTCTTCATCTTCCAGAATTCTATGAATCTTGACTTTGACTTGTGGGCTTCAACTCAGAATATGAGTCCCTTTAATATAGTTAATATAGTCCATTTCTCTGCCAGAAATTTTGGTTAAGTGGGTCCACAAATCAAAAGTTTATCTCTAAGTGACAAAGCCTGTCATGCCATACCTAAGTCACAGTAAAGAAAAAAAATACACCCACACACATAAAAAATATATATGTATATATATATATACATATATATTTTATATATATATACATAAATGGGGGGATCCGAAACTAATGTGTACAAAACAAAGTCAATTAATGAAAGGAAACATCTCAAAATACCACATTCAAAAGTTTCAGATCTATCCAAACTTCAGTTAGCAACCTTCTCTGTCATTGTTTCTCAGTTGTATGATTGCGACACTGTTGGAATGATCTAGTTGCAATCTTTTCTCAACTTTACTTCTGCTGGCCAAACCCACTTAACAGGATCATTTGCATTTACTATTAGAACGCATTATCACCCATGTGATATTTTGCGGTGACTCACAGCCTTTCTTTATTCAAAGAGTCGTTTTTTTTTTTCAGTTCTTCCAAGGATAACTTAACTAAATCCCACCCTGTTAAACTCTCTTTCTTGCCTCTTGTTCCCTCCATCTAAGCACAATTTACTATCACTCACTTTCTTCATGTTATCACACCCCCTCGGGTTAGCTTTCTCTATCTTGCACATCCTGGCAGAACCAGACATTCGGTGTTAAGATGAGACTGCTTTCTTTTTCCT